TATGATCCGTTATCCATGAACTGTGGCAGTTTCTACTCCAGGGGGTCTATGTTTATAGATAAACATACGGTGATCATGGCGATAAGAAAAATTAAATCAGTAAAAAAATAACAATGGAATGAAATTGGGTCCGTTTTTTTCTGAAAGCATTTTGCAGTCCTTGCGGTACTTGAAAGTTTATAGCATACTCTATTCAACATGCACGTTTATGCATTCAATTTGTTTCTTCTACTGAAGTTTGGAAAAAAAATTTGGGGGGGGGGATCAGGAGTGGGCAGGGGGTATTTTGGACGTGTTTAGCCCTCTGAAAATATGCTTTTATTTTGTGTTGCTTTGGCAACATTATTAATTATTGCATATAACTAAACATGCAAGGATTTTTTGGCCCAATGTCTCATGAACAACTTGCGTATTGCTAGAATAATTGCAACTTACAAATCTACTCTGTGGGGGGCAGGTAAAAACTTGAAAATATCACTATCTGTCGTTCTTATACCCAGGCATGGCTGACGGGTTAAAAACGTCAAGCATGCCTCGACTCCCTTCCGGATGACGTCTAAACACGCTAATCCTCCATTTGTTTTGTACACATCCCACGCACAAAGTCCGAGAAGTCCGAGGCGGAGTGAGTGTTGAACACCCCAGAGTGTCGAAAAATATGAGGCTGCTGTAAGAAATATCATACAAATACTGTTGACATGACTCTTGCGAATCAGAATTAGTGGTGTTTGTCTGTAAATCAAAAGTTGGCTGCTATATTTTGCCTTTTCCAAAAATCGAAATCTGTTGCCAACCATGGCCTACATTTATGCCCTTTTGTCAGCCCATACAAAATTGGGGTCACTGTTTACAAACGAAAGAAAGGTACATGTATGTATACTGTGTAGTGTGTATTGTGACAACCGAATAACACTGTGTGTATGTGTACATGTATATTTCGTTGAGATGGATGTTTTGAACTTGCACTTGTATGCTCCTATCCCATTGCCAGTACATGCACATGGCTTCCTTAATCTTTACAACCTTGAACTTAGATGGAATTGCCATCCTTAAGCCACATTCGCATTTTACTTCATTTGGTAAAAAGGTTACTGTGAGGGATTATGTTAACATTCCATTGTGGTTATTCTACCATGTGGCTGCACTTTGGTTAATTTTGGCCAATGGAAAGTCCTTCGTTACATGAAACCAGAGAGAAAGGACATTCCTACCGGTATCTCTATGATAAAACAATGACATTTTCCCGTGACCCTTTAAAATGTACTGGCTAGTGTGGACCGTAAAACTTACAACCGACAGTCGACGCTTTACAATTTGGGAAGTTTGCCGGCTGTCCACAGTGGATTTTATTTGGTTAAGTCGACAACAGTCTCCGTTAGTTTAACCGAAATAAGTCCAATGCAAACTCGGCTATATTCCTCCATGCTAGAAACCACTGATTAATTGGATAACTGCTATAAGCTTCAGTGAATTGAACAGAATTTGTGACTGTCTACATGTACATGTAGATGATCAAGGGGAAATCGTAATTAACGTTACGTCTGGCCAAGGCCGTAGGAAGCGGTATGACAGGCACGGCTATAGCCGTACCAATAATAGGCCTTTTGTTTCCTTTTTTTTTAACATGTAATTTTTGGCAGAGTATAAAGTTAATTTTGTATAGGATACTAAATGAATAAATGAGTGAAATGAAAAAAAAACCAATCAGTTTATTTCCATCTAATATTATTCTAACGACAACAAGAGCTATTTTGGAGCATGTACTCCGAAACAGCTAATAACAAAACTAAAGCAGCCAATCCCATCAAATTAGCTAAAAGCAAAAAAAAAATGGTCGAAGACGATTACTCTTGAGCTGAAAGCTGAAAAAGTTTGCCTTATGTAAAAAAAAAATCTATTGGACAATCAGCTCTCAAACATTAAACTGATGGCTCTGGGCAAAGGCTGAATTGTATTCCCACCCCTAGAAAACCAAAAGGTCGACTATCCTTCGCCATTCCAAATCATTCTACAGAAAAATTAGAGTACGTTTGAAAATGGCAGGGAGAGACCTTCAAATTCGCATCCATTCAAACTGCCCTCCTTCTGGAATCCCCAACCTACCTTCAACTTAAATCTAGAATCATATATTGAAGTACTATTTAACCAGATTGGAAATAAAAAAAGTCAAATCTAACATAACAAAAGCAGAACGTATCGCTTTGATCGGCCTAAAGAAAAGACAAGATATAGTCATTAAACCATTTGATAAAGGCCGGCGCAGTGTTTGTTTATTGTACACACAAGACTACATACTACGACGATAATTATCGGCTTTTGGTTACGTTTAATTTGGGAGGGATTGGGTCAAATCCTGGATCCGCCTCTGCAGACCTGCCAACTCTCACGCATTGAGCATATAAGACTCGCACATTTCAGGTTGTTCTCATGCCAACATGGGAGTTCTCACGCTAAGAAAAATATTAACAAAATAATTGACTCCAAACTCGAAAATGATGTTTAAATGATGATAGCTAAAAAAAAAATGGTCAAAGTGGTCAGAAATTGCCTGAGATCGCACCATAGAGCATCTAGAATTCAGAATTTTTCGGGTCCCTTATAAAGCGGGCCCCGTACCCCACGTCGTTTGGGCTTCGCGCTACGCGCTCGCATTACTTTCCGATCAAGCTCCCTGCCTCTGAGATGAGCTGGACCAGTGTTTTTGAGCTTCCTACGGGCCTGGTCTGGCCACTTTAATCTGAGATATTTACGAGCCAATCTTTAAATAAATAGGAAAGAAAGAAAATTGCTTTTGTCAGAAGTTTCCCTTCACTAATGCCATCAATATGTCAAGAAACAATCCACTCATCTTTCAGGAAATGTTTTTCCCTTTTCACAGACCCCACATTTACCGGTACCTGAGGCTGATACGTGCATGACCTATTTCCTTTTTTTCTTTTTCTGTAGACATCTTATTAAGTGAATTTTGTTATCCTATCCTTTGTGATTCCATTGCACAGACAGCTTCTAGGCTAGTTGTAGTATGGATGATATGTCCAATAGATTGATTGCAATCACCAGCCATCTTAGAAGTGTATTTTGCAATTTGTATTCATTAACCCTCCTATAATAATAATAAAGAGCATTTATAATGCGCCAAATCCATCTTGATTAGATACTCAAGGCGCAGAAAAACAATCAAATAAACATGAACAGCAAAAACAGTAGGGAGCAAAAGTACGCAAAAATGAAAATACATGAATATGAAACAGTACACACGAGAGTGAAATCAAAAACTGGACGATTAATGAAATGCTGCCTTGAATAGGTGGGTCTTCAGAGCACATTTAAACTCATGGGAGGTAGCACTATCACGAATATTTTGAGGACGTTTGTTCCATAACATAGGTGAGAAAATGAACGGTCCCCCCAAGATTTAATAGTTTTAGGCACAACAAGCAGGGACGAATTTGCAGACCTAAGGTACCTAGCAGGGTTGTAACTTGTAAGAAATGAGCAAATCAGAATAATATCCAGGGGCAGAACCATGTAAGCAATGAAAAACAAGCAAAAGTAATTTTAAAACTATTCGAAACTGTACAGGCAGCCAATGGAGGGAACGCAGAACTGGCGTTATGTGAGTTTTACAACTAGTTCTAGAGTAACTATGCGAGCAGCTGTGTTCTGTACAGAATTGTCCTTTCAGTCAAAATCAATAAAGTGACTGTTTTTAACATCCTTCGAAAAGCAGAACTGACTGGCTGTGACTGTTTATGTACAGGTACCGGTTCAGTAACTTGATACAACTATGCTTTCACTGTAGGTGATTGATAAGACAACTGTGCGTACAACTTGCCTGCTTTCGTCTGTTGACTGAATATGACTAGTCACTTTGCTTGCTTCTGTTCCTTGTTCTATGCTTGAAATATGATCTGACTTTTCAATTCAATTCAGTAGACATTTATTTTAAACTCTGCAATTAACCAATACAAAGTTGGATAATATAAGTACAATACAGTGATATTTAAGTAAAGGAAAAACATGAAGGTAATTAGTACCACCAGTAACAAAATAATACGTGGGAGCTAACTAATTAAAGTAAGGTTAATAAAAAGGGTAATAAAAAAGAGTAAAATAGGAGAGTACCGGTAAAAGGCTGTTCTCATAAGCCTGTGAAACAGCCTGGACACATTAGGCTTAAAAAATAATAGTTCTGCTTCCGGTTTCTACCCTAATTTTTTTAAGGGAAAAATGAGAGAAAAAACACCCCAAACCATCTATTTCTACCTTTTACCCTTGACTACATGCAGACACCTCCATATGATCGTACACAAAAAAAATTGGCAAAAAAAAAAAAATTCCCTACCTACATGTACCTACCCTATTTTCAAATGCCATGTACCGGGTAATCGGAAGCAGAAATGTTTTTTTTTTCTTGGCCTTACAACGGAATCACAAGAACAAAAACAAAAATTTGACACAGTCAGACCATTTTTTTTTTCTCTTGAACTTACATAATCCCATTCACAGTTTGACTAAAAGAAAACCACTTGTGACTGGACTTGTGATGGACTCGACTACATGCCTGATTGTGCCTCTGAAAAGAGAACCTTCATGTTCAAAAATTGGCTTCCAATACATCTTAGGTCTCAAATTCATATCCAGGATGACTTCCGGACAAGTTTGCGGGTAGAATCATTCGCTATGTCCGGAAGAATTAGCTCTGGACATGTTCCGGGAAAATTTTCATTAGCCACTGCTTGACTCACCAATACTGATAAGTTTATTGCGGGAAGATTGGGGGCAAGTTGTTCAGAATCCTGCAACTTATACCCAATACAGTGTCCGCAACTTGTCCGAAACTCGTCCCAGATATGAATTGAGACAGGCCCTGATCAAAATGTATACTGAGACAACAATTGATTTTTGTCAATTCGCCAAATGATCGGAGCTAATGGAGAGCCCCACTGTCCGATTTCAGATTTATTTATCTAGATTCGTTTCCCTCCTTATTTCCACAGGTCCTGGCCTGGCATTCATTGCGTATCCAGAAGCCGTGGTTCAGATGCCCCTCCCCACACTCTGGGCCATTCTGTTCTTCTTCATGCTTCTCCTCCTTGGAATTGACAGCCAGGTAAGCTACCAACCATACTTTTTTCCCCCCGCACATGACAAACCCGAATATGTACATTTATTACAGACTATTTAGGACCTCTGGGTTTGCTTTAAATGTTCCACTGGAGGGCTGGTGCAAGGCATCGGTGGTATTCATTCTGCCAGTAAGTCGCAGAACGCGGATGGTAAGTCCACAATTTTTGTCTATTTTAAAGGTGTTCTTAATTAATTTAAAGAACAAAGGTAGATTTCGTATGTAGTGGTTTTGGTTTTGTATAAATTCCGACAAAGGGATTGGATTATGGCTTTTGCACAGACTTTAAGTCAAACCTGAATGTCAAGCTTATTGACTACATACTGGTATAAAGGTAATGGTTCTGTAAAGTAGTATTAGAAAATGTGTAAATGCGCTTGATTTAGAGTTTGTGTATTAGTGTGATGTTGGGAGCACTTACAGGTATATAGTTATATGCAATAGAAACCGAACATGCAGAAATCCATGTCGGCACTTTTTTTGTCGACCAATTGTGGGAACTGTACGGTACATGGACAGTGTAGATAATGCTGTGTGGCACTTGTAACAGAAAATATAGGTCATACAAGCAGCGCGTGCTCGTCCCGGTTGACTTGGTAAAACTTTTCCATTACGTCTCAGGGTGAGGCACTGTGTTTTCCTTTGTTGCTTTAATAATATAACACTCTCTCAATAGTAGACTAATCATACACATACATTCGGGGACCGTTCTCAACAAACGTCAGTGGTATGCATCAGTGCATCCACGTTGTGAAATTTTTTCAAAATGTCTTTGCTTTAGTTACCAACTCTCCTGCTAAAACTAAAGTATAGTGGCAGTAAATTGGCCCCTTGTAATGAATATGTTATCAAATCTCACTTTTTGAACCAAAGCCCGTAGAGATTTTGTTGATCGCTGATTTGCCCTTTTTGCGATGTCATGAATAATTAGATACGGTAGCTGTTGATCGATTGCGGGAATGGTACGGTACATGCATGTACATGTATGTAGATGATGCTGTGTGGCGTATTCATATCAGCCAATGAATGTCATACAAGCAGCGCGTGCTCGTCTCAGTTGACTTGGTAAAACTTTTCCATTATGTCGCAGGGTGAGGGACTGTGTTTTCCTTTGATTGCTTTAATAATAAACATTCTCTCACAGACTAATCACACACACACACACGTGTATAATCAGGGACCGTTCTCAACAAACGCCATTGGTGTGCATCCACGTTGTGAAATTTTTCCGAATGTCTCTGCTTTAGTTACCAACTTTCCTGCTAACACCAAATAGTGGCAGTAAATTGGCCCCTAGTAATGAAAATGTTATCAAATCTCAGTTTTTGAACCAAAGCCCATAGATGATGCTGTGTGGCGGTAAAATGAATGTCATACATGCAGCGCGTGCTCGTCCCGGTTGACTTGGTAAAACTTTTCCATTACGTCGCAGGGTGAGGCACTGTGTTTTCCTTTGTTGCTTTTATATAACACTCTCTCATTGAGTAACACACACATACATTTGGGGACCGTTCTCAACAAACATCAGTGGTATGCATCAGTGCATTTACGTTGTGAAATTTTTCCAAAATGTCTTTGCTTTAGTTACCAACTTTCCTGCTAAAACTAAAGTATAGTGGCAGTAAATTGGCCCCTAGTAATGAATGTGTTATCAAATCTCACTTTTTGAACCAAAGCCCGTAGAGATTTTGTTGATCGCTGATTTGCCCTTTTTGCGATGTCATGAATAATTAGATAGCTGTTGATCAAATGCGGGAATGGTACGGTACATGCATACTTATGTACATGTAGGTGATGCGGTGTGGCGTATTCATATCAGCCAATGAATGTCATACATGCAGCGCGTGCTCGTCTCGGTTGACTCGGTAAAACTTTTCCATTACGTCGCAGGGTGAGGCACTGTGTTTTCCTTTGTTGCTTTAGAAATATACACTCTCTCATTGACTAATCACACACACACATTCGGGGACCGTTCTCAACAAACGTCACTGGTATGCATCAGTGCATCCATGTGTGAAATTTTTCCAAAATGTCTCTGCTTTAGTTACCAACTTCCCTGCTAACACTAAATAGTGGCAGTAAATTGGCCCCTAGTAATGAATATGATATCAAATCTCACTTTTTGAACCAAAGTCTGTAGAGATTTTGTTGATCGCTGATTTGCCCTTTTTGCGGTGTCATGGATAATTAGATACCGGTAGCTGCGTTGATCAAATGCGGGAATGGTACGGTACATGATGCTGTGTGGCGTACTCATAACAGCCAATGAATGTCATACATGCAGCGCGTGCTCGTCTCGGTTGACTTGGTAAAACTTTTCCATTACGTTGCAGGGTGAGGCACTGTGTTTTTCTTTGTCGCTTTAATAATACAACACATTGACTAATTAATCACACACATACATTCGGGGACCGTTTTCAACAAACGTCAGTAGTATGCATCCTGTGCATCCACGTTGTGAAATTTTTCCAACGTGGAAGACAGACCATGGAAGACAGACAAAAAATCGAACGACCGACAAACAGACCCCCACCCGACAAACATAAGATGTGCAACTTGACAAAAAAAAAACCAAAAACAGACTCCAATGAGACAATCCAACAAGAGACAAATGACTCCACAGACAGAAAAACACAACCTCTGAAAGGAAACAGACAAGACAAAAAACAATAAAACAAGGGTTAAAAACAACAAACAAACAAACGAACCGACAAACAGTTATCAACTTTCCACTACTAGCACTAAAGTAGTGGCAGTAAATTGGCCCCTAGTAATGAAAATGTTACTAAATCTCACTTTTTGAACCAATTCGTGTAGACTGATTAGCTGATTTACCCTTTTTGCAATGTCATGGATAATTTGATAGCTAGCTGACAGGTGCGCTGTCGAACTCCCCGGTAAATTGGGAATGTGATTAACAATCACATCAAGTTTTTCACCTGAGACTGATGGGTCTCAGGCTCCTATACCCTAGGTCCACCCTCTACTGAGACTGCAACTACTGGGCCACTTCAGTGGGCAGTAAGCTTGCTCTAGGATCCCAGCTACTTGGCATCCACACAGGATGCAACTTTACACTTCATCGCTTTCGCTTCTGCTACATAAGTGTTTACCTTCTTAGAGTTTAGGCATTCTCCTGAAGACGGTCAGAGCATACCGACCGGAACGTCGAGTGTATACCTCTGGTTCTTTTCAGAACCATTCTCTTAGTTGAGAAATTATTCGCACATGGTGTTTCCGCAAACCTTTCATTATGTTAAAGAAAGACGATTATGACACCCAACTAACTTTGTGACACTTTAAATCGTTGCTATCTTCTCAGAACATGCAATAAACAAATGTGTAAATTTTGTGGGGCCCCCCCTTTTTTGTTTGAAATCCTGATTCCCTCAGAATAAGGTCATACACTTTCTAAGAAATGTGTGGGTTGCTTGGCAGCGCGTATGGGCAGTTTGTAGCAGAACTTGCAGTCAACCACAAGAGTCTTTAAGGAGGAATTATTATATCCGGTGGCCAGTGACCTTGCACTTAAAGGTATAGTCCATCATTTGTAACTTGTGCATTTTGTTCGTTTGAAGCAACAAAAGTGCTCAAAATCTAAAGTAGGGTTCTGAACAAGTAACCTGATGAACTTTCAGCTTCAGCTGTATACGGTATTTTGAGAAAAACAACATTCTAGGATCTCGATTTCAAATCAAAAGTTGCTGAATCATGTTTTGAATTGGGCCTGAATTCAGCGTCTGAGACACGTTCTTACTGAGCCGAATGCAGCTTACGCGATGTCGCGCACTGATCCGACAAATTATAGCAACCGCGTGTGCGTCGTGTCAACGCTTGCGCGCGTTTCGCTGAATAAAAAAACAAAAATTTCCAACGGTGCGTCTTAAGAAGCACCGTTGGAAAAGCCTTCTTTCGTTGTTTCTTCAAAATGACAGCTTGCCAGAAAGAATAATTTCACAGAGAGTTTAGTCCCCTTGCTATATTTCAACCAAGTATGTTTTTCAACAATAATTACGTCAGTCACTTTTTGGATAGCTACAAATGATGGACCATAGCTTTAAAAAAAAAATCTACGTACATTACAAAATGCACTAAGCCACAAACACACAAAAATGAAGCCTCTCCTTTGTTTTTTTTAAAGATCTCATCAAAATAGTTGAGTGGTTTTAAGTTTCTTCCCAGTTAAAAAAAAAACTTCACGTGCCCAGATGGTATTGATTTGAAAAGTACTGAAGTTTTCAAATTACAATTTGTTGCATTACATGTACCTGCTGTGATGGGTATTAATGACACATGTGCCTAACAAGGTGATTTAAAATGGTCAGCTTAAGGTTGGCAAGGCAAATGCATGTTTAAAGCCTCCAGCTACAGAAGAAATATGTTTGGTCCATTACGAGGGGCAATGAAAGTGGCATATCATATCCCTACATGTGGCTTGTTCCATTATGGAGGATTCAGGTTTTACAATTATAATTTTTTTTTTTGGATTTTATCCAGTAACTCTGGAATTTTTTTTGTCCTCCCACGCAGGCGTCAGAAAAACGTCAGCCGATAGTAAATAAATTTTGATGTATTTAAATAATGTGTAGTCCCGATTGAGCTGAAAAAAATGTCCATACAGACCAGTGCCCTAGCCAATGAGCAAGTGATAAAAAAAACTGAAACATTCCTTCTCCCTTTTATACTCAACTTTCCCTTTCTGTTTCCAGAATAATTTGGTGTTTGGTCCTGCTTCTTTCATTTTATCCGGTACATGTACATGTACCGAATAAAAAATAGCTGTTTGAAGCTAAAGAAACAACACACACTCTAAAAAATGTGGATTTTAAATCAAAATGTAAGAAAAGTCACAAAATACAGTTAGCTAAATTCTAGTGCTTAAAGCAGAATCTTAGTCATCTAAAACAGAAGAAGATATTTTCATTCAGACTTGAATTCTCTCTGTTCCACAGAGTGGTACCGGTATATATTAATTTTTTGTTTTT